CCTCACAAAGTCACGTTTTAATGTTCATTAAAGATTTGAAGCATGACCATAATCCATGAGGAGTACTAAAGAGCTATGTTTAATGACTTTGTTGTGCCTGAATTTAAAAGGTTTTGATCTATTCGACCTTTGGTTACAACTAGATGGTACTACATGCCTTACAGCCAATAAAACAATAAATTTATTCATTGAATCAAATCAAATTATTCATTTGATTTAACACTACTAGACTATTTTTTGTGGATTTGGACGGCTTGGAAGAAAATATCCTCCTATTTGCAACCTCGAAGCCACCTTTTAGTGTTGCTGAAGCTATTTTTTAAAGTTAATATATGAACTCATACTTAACTGGAAATTTATTAGAGACCAAAAGACGTATTATGTTCTTGGAGAGCTTGGAAATCAACTAGTGTCATTCTTTATAAAGAAATTATTTTCTTAAATCTAAAATCTAAGGAATTGTAAACTAAATTATATATTCTATGAAACAAAATAGTCGGTATGTAAGCAATGGAGTTCGAAAATAATTTTTAATTTCTTTTCGTTAAATAATTTTGTCTTTTATGGCAAGGATATATTCAGCGCTTTCAGATGTGTTTTTAAGAGTCCTAGTGCATATGGTAAAATCCTTAACATCGCATATACGGTTCTATCGAGTGTACTGTTTGATTCAAGTCCACGGTCAACAAATTGATTGAAACTTATCAGTGCGGCTTTAGGCCTAGAAAATGAAAAACTGACCAGATATTCACGATGCGCCAAGCCTTGGAATGGACCCATAGAAAGGGATCGCCACACCACCTCTTCGCCGATTTCAAAACTGCCTTTAACAGCACGAAATAGAGTCGCCACATTCAGCTATGTCTGAATTTGGTATCTCCGCAAAACTAATACGGCTGTGTGACGTTGAGCAATACCAAAAGTTTCGTCATAATCGGGAAGGACTTTCTTCAGACTGAATAAGAAAGCAAAGCAAATGGGTCTGGTAGTGAAAGGTGGTAAGACGAAATATCTCCTGCTATCAAACAAACAGTCGTCGCACTCGCGTCTTCGTCACTGTTGACAGTCATAAATTATTTCGTCTATATTGGAACCATCATTAACATCAACAACACCGTCAGCTTCGAAATTAAACAGGTATTACTTCGGACTGACATATTGTAGCGAATTATGAGACAGCGGCTACGCTGGCTAGGTTATGTCGTCCGAATGCCTTAAAACACTCGACCCAGTATCCACTGCGAGCAGCAGAGAAGGAGGACCCCCACTTCGTTGGAAATACTAGGTGGAGAAGGACCTGGCTACAGTTTGAATCTACGGAGGAGGAAGAACGACTGACGTTATAACCACATAATAATATCTATGCAAAAAAAAAAAGAAAGAAGGCTCCATCCAAATTGTTAACATATTTCAGCCTTTTCTCATTATTAAGTCTTCAAGCTTTATCAGGATTTAGTTTAACCACTGTGTAAAGAGCAGCATAATTTTAATTTCTGTGTATGAGCGTCGTTGCCTATTCATAATTTCAATATTTATAAAAAGATTTTCACACATTTCCGGTTTTTGTTAACGCGTCTGTGCGGCACACATGCATATATGAATAAATGTAGCTTAGTAACTCATGGACACAAAGGAGTTCTCATGCCTACAAAACTTATTTTCAAAAATCTTTTTCTCTCAGCACACTACGAAAAACTTGCGAATATGGGTGCGTACTTAGTCAATGTGTGTTTGTGAGTGAGTGAATGAGTGACTGAGCGCCAAGTCAACGAAATTACTTTGTCGAAATATACTATACTCCTTACTCAGGCGCCTTACAGGCATTTACTTAAGCAGTTCAAACACTTACGGACATCTCACCTAGGCATTCACCTTGATAGCCACCACACCCTCACTCTGTTATGACTCTTAATAAATACGCGCAACGGATAACCCAGTAATACGCAGCCGGAAGTAATATTGGGTTAATATGCTCGCCATAAGTATGGAAAAGTTTATATAACATATTTTTAGTTGATAGTGTGAGAATATAAAAGCAACAAACATAAATAAATAAATAAGTAAAAAAATATATGTTAAGTTGAAAGCAAAATTTATATGCATGTGTAATAATATATTTGAGAGAAAGTTGCCTAAACGAATAATACGAAAACATATCGGAAAACGATATGTACGAAAATTCATAAAGAAAGAGATTAGGGAGCAAAATATGTATATTTTCCCCAATGAAGTAGCAGACAAGCTATTCAACAAATATATACAAAGTCATGAATACTTAAGAAGGGAAAGAGAAAGTTAAGAGCATATATTTTTCGACCCTTCCACTAAAATACTTTATGCTTAAGTTGCCTCATCATCTTCAAAAGAATGTAAGCTATCACGCACTAAATAAGTCACAAAGTTTTTTTTGGAAGCAAGCAGGTGTATTTACTAATATAACAGGAAGTATTTACCTGTTAGAGGATGTTTAGAAAACAAACGTAATCGATAAAGTATGTACGCAGGTATTTTCATGATTATAAGTATGTCATAGTGGCGGACGAACAGTGTTTTCTACTTAGCAGGATGGTATGTGCTTGAGAATATGAGCATACGTTTATTTATAACATATAAGTATAAATATTTATATGTCATATATAATACACTGTGTATCTTTGTAGATAAAACAGTTATATTTACCATCCTAATTCTTACTACATACACCATTCGACGTAATGTACTACTTTTTAGGCATTTTTAGTCAACATTTTGTGAGAGAGTTAAATGGGTTTTTTTTAAGTAAAGATATTTGAAATATGGTAAAATAATTGAAATAAAGTTATATTTCTATATCAAAATGACATCGTAAAGTTTGTCTATCATATGATCTTTCCGAATAGTAAAAAATTAATTAAATGCATACAAAATTACCCTAACTTCCAAATAGCAAACAGACCTTTCCTTTCTGCTCTTGATTTTGAATTTTCTCTGTGCTCTCTTTAATGTATGAGTATAATTTTTAGTGAAAAAATTCATTATTTTTACGTTAAATAGCAGTTTTTTTTAGTATTCTTAAAATTATGGAATTTAGATAAAATATGCACCGTTTTATTCAATAACTTGGCATAAAATTGAGAAAGATATTTGCATAAGCATTTTTCGAGGCGAATTAACAAAATTATTGAACATGATACCATTAGAGACCAAATTTGATCGAACTCAAATCGATTTAGTTGAAATTAAATGTCTTGAAATAATAAGAAAGCTTGTTTTAATCTATTAGATTTGGAATTTTTCTGAGACTGAGCGTGATCCATTTCGAAGCGACTGAAACTTCAAATGTTTATTATTATTTTAAAGAAAATGTGGGCATTTATTTTTTGAAAATTATTACTTTCAAATGTTGACCGCGGCTACGTCTCAGATGGTCCTTCCGTTGATTAATATTTCCGATGAATCGTTCGAGCATAACGACTGGTAACTGGCGAATTACAAAGATTGACCGCATAGACTTTAGACTTATCGCCATCTTGGCGGCAATCGACAGGCCCAAAAGGTGAAATTATCTACTCGTCGAAATGTTCTCTCACTAAATCCATTGATTGATGCAATGTATGGGAAGTGGCGCCGTCTTGCTGAAACCAAATGTCTCCGAGATCTGCAGCTTGAATTTCCGGCAACATTTTTGAAGAAATATGAACCGATGATTCCACCGCCCTACAAACCAAACCAATATGTTATTTTTCTTGAATAAAATGGCAGCTCTTGATTCTTTTTAGGTTGCTATTCGTCCCAAATACGGCAATTTAGGTTGTTTACATACCCATTGAGCCAGAAATGGGTCTCATCACTGAACAAAAATTGGTTAATAACAGATAACTTTTGTAACTGGTCATAATACTTAAAAAAATAGCTTATAAATTAGTTTTTTTATAAACTCATCTGCATGGCAACTTAATGATATTTTTACTTCATGCGTGCCAGTTTTGGTAACAAAAAACCGCTGGGATATATTACAATTTACTACATATTTTTTCATAACTACAAACTGCCCTATTGTACCAACTCATCAACAAAGGTTTCATTTCATACCTTTTTCTGTAGGATTTAAAATCATTTATGCACTCATTATCTGCTTAATTTCATAGATGATATTTTTTCTAGCTACAGGCGCATGTAACAAAATATCTCAACTGAAATTTCAGAAAAATAACTCCAGTTCATTAATTGAGAATAACGGCACGAAAAAGCACTTTTTCCGCCTTCGAATCAATGAAGGGGCTAAACTTTTTTCGATTGCTCAATGGCGCATAACATTTTTCGTTCGTATCAATAGACTTTTTGTGGGCATTTGAAAGCAAATAAATTTAATTAAATGTTGACTATGATGAATTACAATTTGCAGCAAACACTAACAAATTGCGAAATGAAATGTAATTTTATATGAGGGCCAAGCGTTGATGAAACGATAGAATGGCAATGCTGGGGGTGAGTGAGTTTGTCAGTGAGTGCACAGGAGTAGACTGACTGAGAAAATTAATGGCATGAGTTTTGTGAGTGGATTGAAAGACAACGCTTAGCTTGCAAACTCGTATATAGTTGTATACAAATATATATTATATATATGCACTAAATGTAAGCTAATGCCAAATAGTGAAGAGTGGTGAAAGTGGAATATGATAGCATCATTCCTCTTTCATCATAGCAACTCTTGCACAGCTAAGTGACTTTGAAGATTGCTGCGCGTAGCTGGAGTAACTACTTCCATCCTACTGGATAACTGCTGGGAACGCTGTGAGCTAGCTAAGAAATATGCTAGTAATTCGGAGCATTCAAAGTGCTTATCCTTTGGTTGGTTTTAAGTTTCACGCGCGTTCATCGCATCATTTTACTGCGCAGCGTTTAAGAATTAGCACGCTGGCATTTTCGCATTTACAAATTTACGCATTTCCGTCTTCTTTTTCTTCTACCTCTTCTGTTAAACTATGTATTTATTGTTACGCTTTGTTCTTCATTTGCAGCTGATATCAAACTTTTAGCACGCAAACTTTCACACTTTGATCCGTTGACGCTGAAGGTGCCGCTCAAGGATGTCGTCTGCTATTTGTCATTGCTGGAAGCTGGACGACCGGAAGATAAGCTTGAATGTGAGTAGTGGCGATAGTTAAGAAAGGAAAAAATGGAAGGAATGAGCAAGAGTGATTTATAAGCACCACCCACGAAATCAATCAGAGTAATGAGTGGTTATATATTGGAAGGAGAAAGAAAATGGTGTATAGGGAAATTTTGAAATTGATTAACTTGAGTATCATAAATCGATTTACTTTGAAAAATATTGTAGGTAGGTAGGGATTTAAAAAATTTTCTTCCCTCTGCAAAGATAGAAAAATGAAATTATCGGCGGCATAGTGTTTAACTTAAGTGGACCTAAACAGTATCACTTTTATGTTTATGAAAATATTCATAACAAAAAATCTTCAACAAAAACAATCTTTGAAAAGAAAGATCTTTTCTGATTATTTAAAAAAAAACTTTAGTAAATTGTCACCTGTTAGAAATTTTTTATCCAAAAATAAAAAACGAGTCAATATGAATAATACAATATTACAACGAGGGAGTATACATTTAAAAATATGTTTAGAGAGTTGCCATCTGTTTAAAGATTTTTATTCAAATGCAATAAATTTTAGAAAATTGATGTAGAACTTAAAGGTTGGAAAATGATTTATGTCGAAGCCATTTTAAAGCAAAGTTACCACATATTTTATATATTTTATTTAATATAAAAAGAAAAC